GTTCTCACACGACAGAAATGAGGAGATGAAATTACACTGCTTTAAAGTTTGCCACTGGGAAATGATAAGAAAAACTCCTCTCGACCCCTACTCCCAACCAGGAAGAGTGTGAAGCCCTGGATTATAGCACAGGTAGATATTAAAACGGAGACAGAGCCGTTATTTAGTGGTGACAGGAATATAAATACGTGCACTAACCTATAAACTGGTATTTACTTCAGGAAGGTAAGTAATATTTTTCCTCTGATTGCTGAGCTGTCAGTTTAATGCAGCGTAAATAAACAGTAGGTGCCTGCTAGCTCAAAGTAGGAAGTGTTCATTCCACACGAGAAACATATTACCGAACCTCAGTGCTCATCATGCTGAAACATAACTTTCATTTTACCAGAAAATATACCCTACCATGGATGATTTTCGTGCCTGATCTATTAATTAGCTTAACTCTGTTCTGTCAAAATGTAAACCAATTTGTAAAAATCATCACAGACTTTTGGAGTTTGAAAACCAAATCAATTTGGAAAGCAAGAGTAATGACTCTTCTGTAATCTGATCACAAATACTAAAAATGAATACTTAATATAATAAGCATCAACTGTTTAAAACCCCCCAAAAGACAAAGAACATGTTTAAATAACATAGAATTGAATCACCTGAGTTATCTAATTTACTCGAAATCCTCCTCTTCTGTTAATTAAAAGCAAATAGCGCTTTTCAATATTTTTTGCAATTTGGTGCTAGTTTGATCTTTTCTATAATACATGTTTATTTTGCTCTGTGAAATATCTAAAGGTAAACCATTCATAAAAATTAAGCCATGTTCCCTAATTCCAATAGAAAAGAATCTGAATGCTCATGAGAGAAGCGGCAAAAGTTTGAAGATCAGATGATATCCTTCCTAACAGCCTTCATGTAAAATGTGGTTTTCTTCCTATTTTATGTATGCCATAAACCTATGACAATATATAGCAACTAGTCCCCCCCCTTATAGATGAGTCCTAAGCAACATAGTTGGTGGTATCATTTAAAATGGCAACTCATTTAAAAAGTATAAAAGGCAATTTGTGGAGGTTCTATTTAAAACAAGATCAAAAGTCTGATAATCAATAAATTGCAAAGGAAAGGGTTTTTTTTTAAAGAATATTTTTGCCCTCAACTACAATATGTCTAGACATAATCAGAAGATTGAAAGATTGATTAGTCTTCTGCATTTATGTACTTCATCAATTCCAAATACTAATATAATATTAACTGCAAAGATTCAAAGCAACATATATAGAAGGAATGATGTATTTGAGTAAACAGCATATCTATGTATGTATGGCCCTTTTGGTAATTTACAGAGCAGATGAAATCCACTAGAGTGCTTTAGAGAGTCCCTGCTGTATATCCATGTTGTGTTTAGCTTAATAGTGTTTGTAACCAAAAGATTTTTACAATAATTAGGAACAGGTGCCTGTCACCTGACCTTTTAGGCCTAATTTACAATCCACAACCTGTTACAAGAAAAAAAAATTGAGATTCTCTTGTAGATATTTCAGTCCTTGCTAATTTAATGTAGTGCTTCTTAACCATCACTCAGCATCTCCTATCTGATTCACAGGTTCACATAGCTGGCAACAGAGGTCTTTGCAGAAAGAAGCCAACATTCATTTTGTTGTTGTTCTCCTTTAAGATGCTGGGAGACAAAAGAACTACTTCTGTAGATTATCAACCAAAGAACATATTAATTTAATACAACAAGTGAACAAAAGACATTCCTTTTGAATACTTTTACATACAAAGAACTATTATTTATTACATATTTCAGCTTGTGGGAAAGTGAAGAATGCATTCATTCTGAAAACAACTACTCAGACTTTTGGAAGTTTTTGAGGTCTTCTTTATCTTTTTTTTTTTTTTTTCTTCCACCCCACTATCACACACACACATTTTAGGAAGCTAGTACTTCAGAAGGGAAATCCCTATTTGTTCTTTTTTCATCCATAATTTGCATTCATTATTCAGAAAGGAATACAAAATTGAGCAGTGATTTTATTTCTCTTGCATAATCTTGTTATATGTAGCCGTATTCAAATTTAGCAATGCTTTGTGTTTTATAGCTACTGTTCACATAGTGTGTATTACATATGACTGAACAACTCTACATTTAAAACACTGCTTCCATTAGGAAAATATGAAGTACTAAGTGTCAAATGGAGATGAAGAATAAATAGATTTGTTATATTTATAAAATGCATGGTCATTTAAAGTGTGCATAAACAGATACATATTTGCTACTGTTCCATGTTATGTGGTAGGCATATTGTCTAAAGTGTATTTAATAGTGTGCTTAACCAAGTTAATTAAAGTATTTATATCTGGTGATTGTGTTAAACACTTGGAGAGGTAGTGAAAGATACAGCCGATTACTTCTGCTAACTAAAGTTGAAATTATGCACTTATTATAACCTTTTCTAACAATGTGAGAAAAACAGAGTAAATATATTAAATTTGTTTCACAACAGATGCTTAGGTTGTTAATATTTAAGATGCCTATTCATGCTATTCCTGTCTGCACATTTGTCAAAAATGTAAGCTTGAATGCTAATGCTTGCCAGCAGACTGGAGCAGCCAGTATGTGAATGTACTACTGTTCTACTAAAATAATACGCAATAGAAATAAAGGATTGCTAAACCATAGCATCACCCCACAAAAGAGATCCATAAAGGTTTTTGAGAGCAAACACCTCAACCTAGGCTTTCTTCAGACTTAAAGTAGGGGGTTCTTATTTATTTATTTATTAGAGCAACATATGACTATAGAATAAATCTCACATTCTCAGAAAATCCACTTTAGATGTGGTGTAAATTTCCATAAAGTTTCCACTGGTGAGTTAGACTCTCTCTCCTCAACAGCCCAAACACTGTAAATTTCAGCGACTGCTTAGGACAAAATCTGGGAACAGGGAGAAAATCTCACTCCCCCTCCTCTGTTCTCTTTGGAAAGCCAGATCCTCTGGCCTCCAAGGATACAAACATGCAACCCCCATAGGTTAGGGCAGAAAGGTTCTCTCCAGGAAAGATGTCTTTCTGTTTACCCTATCTTTATTTTACAGCCTTGTGGAGTCCATGTCTTACACCATTTGCCTGAAAATTCAGAATGCCGCGGAGAAAGTTTTCCGAGGAAGGGCGCAGAGGTCAAAGTTGTCAACCAGGGCCCTCTGAGAGAGGACCCTGTGGTTGATACTTGTAAGTGAAATTTGGCCAGGGCCAAAACCTACAACCTGAGCTCTATATCGCTCTCCCCTCTCGGTGTTTCAGGGTCATCCCAAGAGTGTCCTACTCTGCTTTTCCTCGGTACGCACGTGTCACTCCCCGGACCTGCCACCTGCCTGCTTAGTCCTTCTTATGGTGGTTTCCCAAAACCCATATCAGCGGCCCAGGAGAAGGCCTCTGCGCTCGGGTCTGATAGGCAGGAGGGCAAAACGGTGCAGACCCCGATGCTGCACCTGTGCTAAACCCCTGCCTGGTAGGAGGACAGCCCTTGCTCCTGCCACCAGCCCAACTCCACGCCCGCACTCACGCTAACAGCCCCGCCACGACCCACCTCGCTGTTGGCGGCTAGGACTCAAAGCACACTGCTTCGGATTTTAAACTCCGGGCTCCAACTTAGGCGCCCCAGTGAGTTCAAGGATGGAGAAGTTGACACAAACTTCCCGAGGGTCTCCCTCCGCTGTCGCTTGCCACCAGCCGCAGTGGCCGGAGCGGAGCAGTCGGGGACCGGCCAGGAAAGGATGCTCAGCGTGTTCGCTATGTGGCGGGGGAACACTTCCACTCCCCCTGGCAACCCGGCTGCGGAGTGCACGGAAAGGCTTCCCCTTTTCCCTGGCAGCCCCCTTCGGTCTTTGCCACTCTACCTTTCTCTTCGAAAAGGGGGCCTGAAGGAGTTTGCTCAACCAGGATCTGTCAGGCAGGTGTGTCAAGTGTCCACACCCTGAGAGAGAACGAATGGCATCTCCAAGTCCCCCATCCCAGCCGCTGTCCCTCACTCCACCGGCCCACCCTCCGGCATCCATGTGCGCGCGAGATGGGGTTTGGAAGACCCCCGCTGCCGCTGGACGCCCGCAGAGGTGAGCAGAGCAGCCCCAAGCTGGGGCGCCGGGGGTGGGTGCTTCGGAGAAGTTTGGATCAATTCCGGAAAAAAAAAAGAGACAGAGACGGGGACAGAAAGAAAAGAGCATGAGGCGCATGGGAAAGGAGGTGGCGAAGGAGAACTCACTCAGGCATGAGCGCTGGGGGCCGCAGAGTCGCTCGAGTGCGGGCCGGAGAACAGGCACGGCTCCCGGGGCGGGCGGGCGAGTGCGCTGGCGTCGGACTTCCGAGGCGGCGACTGCTGCCTCTCCTGTCGCCGCCGCCGATCTGCGGCTGCCGCGGAAGTTAATTGCAACTTGACTTCAAGTTGTCTTCTTTCCCCATTCGAAGTGGGCGTTTAAAGGGGAGAGCGAGGCAAGGAGCGAGCGAGCAAGCGAGAGAGCGCGCGGGGCCGAGGGAAGGAAGGGGGGCGGGGGGAGGAGATGTTAACGGGGGAGGGGGAGGGGGCGGTGGCGGGGGCGGGAGGGGGAAGGGGCCGGCGGGAGCTGCTCTGGGCTCGGCGGTCGCCGCGCCCGCAGTCTGGAGGCGCTCCGGAGCGGCCGGGGCGCCCCCGCGGGAGCCCGCAGCCGCCCGGGGCGCGCATCCAGCCGCGGCGCCTCGGGCCGGGCACGCTGCGCCCAGGGCGCACTGGCGACCCCGCCGCCGCTCCGGAGCTGGTGCGGCGCGGGCTGGCCGGCGGGGCGGCCCGCCTCCCCAGCGCCCGCCCCAACTGGCTTCTCCCCTGGCGGTGGGAGCCTCGGCGGCGGCCGCCGGCTACTGCAGGCGCACGGGAGCCCGAGCCGAGCCGAGCCCGAGCCGCGCCGCCGCCGCCGCCGCCACCGCCGCTCGCCGCTCCCGGGCTCCCTCCCAGCGCGCCGGCCGGGTGGGGGGGGGGGCGGCGGGCCGGAGAGCGAGGGCGGGCGAGGGGGCGCGCTTAGGGCTTGGCGCCGAAGATCGGACCCTCGTCGGCGAGGGTAAGTGTGGGCGCTGGCGAATGCGCTTGGGGGTGCGCCGCGCGCTTCTCCACGCCCGCCACCCCTGCCCCTCACCTCTTTGGGGGCCCCCAACCACGCGCACCCCTCCTCTTGCCGCCCGCGGCTTCCTCTTGTTGTTCGTTGTTTGGCTTGGCTGGGGGTTGGGGGGGTGGCAGAGAGGGGGAGACCAGTGTGTGTGCGCCAGCGGAGGAGGAAGTCAGGTGAGAGGCCCAGAAGCACCCACACACACACACCCTAGCCTGCGTGGGGTGTGTCGCTCCCCACTAGGGGCATACGGGCCAAAAAATTTTTTTTTTTTTTTTTTTTTTTTTTGCTTATCAATGTTCTGTCGAGATGATCCTTCCTAGAGGGCCTCCTTCTCCTCTCTTTGCTCTGCTCTCTCTTCATCCCATCCTGGTTCCTCCCTGCCCCATCCAGGAGCTCTGCACCCCAAAAGAGGAGCACGTGGAGGAAGGAGGACCAAGGGGTCTCTTTTGGAGACCCCACGCTCTGCCCCTGCCCATTTGTATCAATATTTATCCTCAGGTCATCATCTGTACTTCTTTGCTATCCACTGGAACAAGATGCCTACGCCGAGCTCCAATGTAACCCCCTCCCCCCCCACACACACACCCAGCCAAAGCTGGGGCAAAGAGGGCGAGAAATGCGGATTTAATTAACTGAGGACTCAGAGCCAAGGACACCTTCCCAAATGGGAAAGTCCAAAGACCTCTGAAAGATCGGGATGGCTGGAGGCTCCAGGACCCCCAGGCTAAGGAGAAACTGGAACTGGATCAACTTTAACCCATTCCCCTTGTTACTTTCCCTCTACACCCTACCCCCACCCCCACCCCCAACAAACACGCACACCAGCTCTCAGGAAGTTAACAGGTCTTTTGTTTCGTGTGGTGTTGCCTTTGGGAAATTTGCATTGAGTATGACAACAGAAAATTACTACTGTTTACTCAAAGTTAAAGGATTGCAAAAAGAGAAAACATAGTTTTTACTTTTTCTCTTTGTCCGTGTGTTAGACAAAAAGTGGAGTTGTTACATTCATGGTATGAATTGCAAAACGTCAGTTTGTAACAATAAAGACTGTAGGTTTATTTTTAGAAGCTGCACTTTCTTGAGTTCTTTCACACAAGGCTTGCTCTCTCATTAAGTCCCCATAAATAATTGTATTTAGAGAGAAGGAAAGGAGGGTAACAGGAGAGAGAATGGTAAGATTTCCATCGTGCCAGCGCAGAGTACTGTTTGCAGGGAAGTTCCTGGAAAGTGGCTGTGGGCTGAGAATTCAGTTTTTCCTAAAAGCTCTGTTAGGTCCTCTTCTGTCAGATGCCTATGAAATAAATCACGCTGGGAAAATCCTGATATCCATGCAGCCTTATTTTATCTTTTTCACAGTGGTTGATTCGAATTTCAAGCCCTGGTAACAAATAATATCAATTTGTGCTGTAATTCTGTGGGGTTTTTCTAAATAAAGGAGAATAGCCTGTGCATTCTTGCTCCTTTCTGATCTCTCCCTCCCACCTTTTCTGCCCATGGGTAGGATATTGAATTCACTGGAAAGTATCCATCTTTTTCTGTTGTTTATCATTTTATGCAAGAGAAAACAATTCCAAGGATGTACGAATATTAAAAAAATTATGAGTTGGTGTTCTTTTATTGTACTAGTCCACCTCAACCTTTTAAGACACAGTGCCCGCCTCAACTTCTAGTTCTATAAAGCAAAGCAAAAAAAATTAAATGTTTGCAATGGGCAAACAGAACTTTTTCTTCCCGGACTACTTTCTTGCCCCCACAGATCCCAAGAGACAACAAATTCTCCTGTCTTGATTTATCAAAATGCTGAATTGCCTAACCAAGCAATACCAGCATCTCCATCTGAGAAAGACGTCAGGTTTGAAATGGAAAAATACATTCTCAGTTTTTAATTACTGCTTATTAGTAATATCTCATAGCAAGCAGCTGATTCTCCAATTCTAAATGCCTGAAATAAGCTTAACAGAAATTTGAAATTCAAAAAAGGATTTTTTCTTCCTTACACATTTATATACTTATCTACTTCCTCAAATTATCAGCTAAGCCCCCATAATTTAAGGTATGATATACTCCCCTGAGTTAAACCAAGAGGAAAATTGGTCCCAACCTTTTGAATTTGCTTCCTTCCCTCCATCCAAAAAAAAAAAGGTCATACAGAGAACTCCTAGGCTCTATTAGAATGTAGGCTTAGGTAATTCTGGGTGCAATGCATTAAATAACATAGCTTGATAACTCTATGTAAGCCTATCTCCTGATACACAGTAGGAATTCATTAAATGCTTAACTCAGTTAAGATATTAGTAAAACGTTGTAATCAGTCACAAATTTGATAGTACAAGGATAAAGCCTTTTTTTTTTTTGAAGAAAAGGGCATCTTACTTGAAAATTATTAGCTTAATTGCTATGGTCTGAATGTTAGTGTCCCATCAAATTCCTACGTTGGAACCCAGTACTTTGTGTGAACCCTCATGAATGAGGCTAGCACTCTTACAAAAGAGGCTTGAGCTAGCTGCCTTTCTCTTTCTGCTACATTGAGGGCACAGCTACAAGGTGCCATCAGTGAACCAGAGAACAACCTTTCACTGGATTCTGAATCTAGTGGCACCTGGATCTTGGCCTTCTTAGCCTCTAGAACTGTGACGAATGGATTTCTGATGCTTATCAATCACCTGGTGTAAGGTATTTTATGATAACAGCCAGAATAGACTAACATATTTGTGCTACTAGATTTTTAAACAAATTTAAATGTAATTTAACTGGTCAAAAAACAAATTTATATGAAACATACTAAATGGTCAGTAACAGCAGCTTGTATCAAAACCTACACTGAGCAGGGCATGGTGATACATACTTGTATTCTCAGCTACTCAGGAGGCAGAGATTGGGAGGGGTACAGTTCAAGGTCAGCCCAGCAAAACCTCCATCTTAACAAATAAACCAGACATGGTGGTACATTTCTGTTATCCCACCTATGCAGGAGGTATAGATAGGATGGAGGTCTGAGGCCAAACCCCTGGCAAAAGCATGAAAACCTGTTGGCAAATAACTATAGTAAAAAGAAAAAAGGGCTGAGGGCACAGCTTAAGTGGTAGAGCACCTGCCTATTAAGTGCAAGGCTAGAGGAGGGTGGAGGTCTGAGGCCAGCCCCTGGCAAAAGCTGTTTATGGAATCGTCACATCATCACAAAATAGTGCAGCCTACCTCATGCCCAAGAGTGGGGCACTGTGGTACTCAACTCTAAGGACTGTCACACTGGTAGTAATCCTTGTCTTATGACAGCCTGCCAACTACACCATCCCATCCTGCCTCTTGTGGCTCAAGTCTTCCATTCTCCAGGGTAAACATTGTCAGAAATATTGTCACACTCATAGAGACATGACACAACTGCTTTCACCATCTACTCTTTCTTTGAATTCAGAACTGCAACTCCCATTCCCCACTAAGGTATGGCGCTATCAATTTGACATCAGTCTTATATTTATTAATATTATGTACATTATTAATATTATGCACATTTTCTTTTCTCAAGACTTGTTTTCCTGGCAAGGGTACAATGAACAGGAACTTTTAACAACTGTTATCTGAAGATGTCATGATCATTATCAAAATTTGAGACTTGATCTTGAGTAGTTACTTCCCTTATTGTAAATATCATAATGCTTGACATGCTCTTGTGACACAAAATTCTCATCAAAGTATTTGCTCATTAATTCATTTATTCTACTTTTTGTTCATTCAGTAAGTATTCCTTGAGTATAGAAGGTACCAGGCTCTCTATTTAAGGACCAGGATATGGATATGATTAGGAGTGCTTCTCTTCAAGAAACACATTTTCCGATTGGGCAGACAGACATAAAAAGTTATTACAATGCTAATAGAGGCACAATGTGTTATGGGAACACTTAGGAAGAAGCACATAGCAAGCTGGCAGGATTTAGGAAAGTCCCATAGAGGAATTGACACTTGAACTAAGTCTTGAGAATACATGAAATTCCTCAAGGCAGAAAGATGGAGGGAGAATATTCCAAGCTTGTTTAGGAAACTGTAAGGAATTCAGCAAGTCTGGAACCAAGCAGCTCCAGATTGTGAAGGCCTTGCAGACAGTCTGGACTTTGATCACTCCATACACCAGGGATTGCAAATTCTTGTGCTCACCTGGGGCCAAGCATAGATATAAGAGAGCAAAGCAGACCAATTTAAGATCACCAACAGTGGTGGGCACTATAGTAGTCTGACAAATATATTCTGTCAAAATGGGGAAGTAAACGCCAACATACAAGATGTCAGATTTTCCAATTTCTAAAAGAAGCTAAAAGGGCTGACGGAGTGACTGAAGTGGTAGAGTGCCTGCCTAGCAAGCATGAGGTCTTGAGTTCAAACCCCAGTACCACAAGGAAGTTTGAAAGGAAGGAAGGAGAAAAGGAGGAGGGAAGGAAAGAAGGAGAGAGAGAGGGAGGGAGGAGGGAAAGAAAGAAAGGCTAAAAAATCACACATATGAGAAATTGAAATATTGAATAATAATAACTTACTCATGTTTTAAAGTACACTGGCAGTCCCTATGCTGATTTTGACCTATATATATGTTTTGTATAGCTTATGTATGTATGTTTCTAATAAAGAAGAAATATATTTTACCTCTGATGACCCATAAGCATGTGCGTTACACTATCTTAAAGATATTTGATATTTTAAAAATTTTTTTGAGCTCACTTAATTGTATGTTCTTCTGACCCCTCTTTTGCTTTGAAACCATATTTGCCTGTCATTCAACAGCAGTCAGAAGATGCCAGAATACCCCCCAACACTTCTATAAACTTTAGAATGTCAGAAACACTTAAGTGTCCTTTCATAAGGCATACGAAGTTTCTTGTAGATTTGGTCCCGTGGGTACATCCATATTCTTTAAAGCCATTCAATTCACCAGACAACCAGGTCTTTAAATTCTTAACAAGTTGGCT